AGGTGCACTCCACCATACCTGGCTTTGGTTAGGATTTTTGCCATGTTAGGACTAAAAACATTTTGGGCTATCAACATTTTAAGTCTGTCCTAAAATATCTTGGGTAAAGAATTCACACAAATCAAGCAACAGGATTATGTTAGATATGTATTTATCAAACTGCAAGATGATTTTGGATTATCCTTGTCAAGTTCTCAAGTTTTCCAGGAAAGAATCCTACAAGCAAGATTTCTTATTCCCAAGTTCCCGGCCTCTTTCACCTCCAGTTCCTTAGTTATCCACCCAGCACAATGGCCACATCTCTTCTCTTTGCTCAGTTTATTAAGTCAACACACACTCACCAAGAACTTTATTTCATAAAAACAGAAATGAAATCGTGGCCAAAGTGGCATACACCTTTAATTCCCACACTCAGGAAGCAGAGCCAGGCCTGGTCTACATAGTGAATTCCAGGTCAGCTGGGGCTACAGTCCTTAAAAAGAAAATAAGGGCTGGAGGGATAGTGCAGCCGTTAAAGGCTAAGGCTAACAAGCAAAACGTTAAAAAGAAAACAAACAAAACAGAAATGAAGATACCTGGTTCTGGAGTTCACAATCTGGTAAGAGGAAAATAACCCTGAGAACAAGCAAGTGCTATACAGAGGGCGCCACATACTTTTTCTGAATGGAATCAGAAAGAAGTATTTCTGCTTTGTAGTGACAGTCTCCGTGGCACCTACTGAGTGCACCATGAAAGCAGCCACTGGCATTACATAACTAACGAGAATGGGCTGTGCTCCGAGATTTATATCTACAAAAACAGATACTGCACGGCTGGAGAAAGGGCTCAGCGTACGGTAAAAGCATGCACTGCTCTTGGATTTCACAACTGCAGCTCCATCCGATGCTCTCTTCTGGCCTCCACAGACATTGCATTCATATGCACAACCCATATTCAAGGAACAACAGCTAAGGTCGCCCTCTGTCATTTATACTTACACACACACACACACACACACACACACACACACACACACACACTTAATGAAAAATAAAAATAAGCCAGGCAGGACAGGAGAGATGGCTCAGTGGTTAAGAGCACCGGCTGCTCTTGCAAAGGACTGGGGTTCAGTTCCCAGCACCCACATGGCAGCTAACAACTGACCATAACTCCAATTCCATCGCTAATCTGACACCCTGTTCTGACCTCTGCAGGCACTGTACAACATGGGTGCACCTACACATATATAGGCAATACACTCATAGGCATAAAATAAAAATAGAGACCCTTAGAGACCAATGAGCCCAGACTGCTCCATCTGAAGGTGATATACCCGCTCTCATCTAAGGACTAAGTCTTATTAGCACTCATCAACACATGGACAGAAACAAGATAAGCAACAGTGAAAGGAAGTGATAAGGCCTCCTCCAACTAAGCTGGACAATTTGCTTAGATTCTTTTCCTTTCAAACACTTTCATTATTGTTTATCATAGAGAATTCTGAAAATGTATGAAAGTAAAAAGAAAATAAACATAGGATCTAGAGAAATGGCTGGGTAGTTAAGAGCACTGTCTGCTCTTAGACCCAAGTTTGGTTCCCCGTACCCAACGGTCTTAACTCCAGTTCCAGGGGTCCAACACCCTCTTCTGACCTCCTTGGGCATGGTGCATGTACATACATGCAAGGCAATACACTCATACACTCAATTCCAGTACTTAGGAGGCTGAGGAAGATAGAACTCTGTGAGAGCAAAGTCAGCCTGGTCTACATAGCAAGATCTAAGCCAGCTGGGGCTACAGGGAAATCCTGTCTCAAAAACAAAAACAAAACAAAACAAAAACCCCCACCCATTCACATAAAATAAAAATTTGAAGGGAAAAAAACCCATAAATACCAGGTACTATCCATCACGGTGCAAAAATTTTTGTCAGCACTTTAGTTTTTCTCTTTCAATTTCAATTTCTTTCTTTCACTTTTTTTTTTTTTTTTTGTAAAGTTTTTGGTCTTTTTGAGACAGGGTCTCCCTGTAGCCCCAGCTGTCCTGGAACTCACTATGTAGACCAGGCTGGCCTTGAACTCAAAGAGATCCGTCTGCCTCTGCCTCCCAAGTGCTGGGATCAAAGGTGTGCGCCACCACACCTGGCTCAATTTCTTTTTTATATACATCAGAAAAAACTGTTCTTAAACAAATTGCTTTCTCTTTTCTTCATGAAACATGTCATGAATACTCTCCCAAATTCTTTACTGCTACTCAAAAGTATGATTTTACAATATCTGTATTAACAGTCCATCAAATACATGGGTCACAATTTAAACTTTGCCCATTATTGGCTATTTAGATGAGCCATTTCATTTTCATATTACACTAAAAGTTGAAAATAGGAGACTTGAGGCTGGAGAGATGGTTCAGCAGTTAAGAGCAGTGGCTGCTCTTGCAGAGGACCCAGGTTCAGTTCCCAGCACCCAAATGGTGGCTAACAATTGTTCATAACTCCAGTTCTAGGGGATCCAATGCCCTCTTCTGATCTCTGCAGGCACTGCACAACACAGGTGCCCTTACACACACGCTGGCAATATACTTATACACATAAAAAAAATAAATAAAATACTTTAAAAAAGTAAAAGTTGAAAATACTCCTTTAAAAAAGTTATAAAACTCCTTTAAAATAACACTTATTTAGGTATTTGATAGCAAGTAGTTCTTTAAAACAGAGTAATGGTTCAGGGTCCTACAAGTCAAGACACAGAACACATTGGTGACTAAGGAAGTAGCAAATTCCATAGGAGCAGTCAAAGGGGAACAAGACCAACAGCATCGTACCCTACTTTACCAGATAACTGGGTAACCAGATAACTGGGTCCCTGATCTTCTCTGTTACAGGCAGAGGAGTTAGTGCCTGAGAATACTTTCACTGCTCTGGGCAACACCCAACAGGAAAGCTCTTTTGGCTTGACTGCTCTGATTAAAATCATGTAAGAAGGACATTAAATGGCTTGGAGCAGATGTTCCACCTGCTGCATCTAATGAATTTTGGGAAATTCCTTTTGAAATAAAAGATCCACTAATTGGCTTTTTTCTCCTGGGCATCTGGAGGAGGGCTCTCTGCTGTTCACTCTGCAGGGCATGTGTGGGCAGGATGTGGATGCCTGCTTGGCATCAGCAACATGCTTCCAAAAGTGGCACAAAGGTTACATAAAGCCTGCTACAGGAGCAAGAGACAGAGCAGCAGAACCTACATACATTTCCCCTATCCAGCTGTCAACTACAAAATTAAAACTAATCCTGGGGTTCATATTTATAATGCTGGAAACACTCCTTCCTAGAATAAATTGTCTTGGCCTTTAAGTCAGACAAAGGAAGTGGAATATAAGAAACTTAATGGATTGGCTGAGTTACAATTACCCCCTCTAGAGCTACTTATAGCAAAACCAACAATAACAACAAACTATATAAACCTCAGTTCATCTCTCAGCTTCTAGACTGAAGACTGAGGTAACAGCAACATGTGTGTTTGCTTAAGTCGTATAAAAATCAGTAAAACTGGGGCTTGGAGAGATGGCTCAGTGGTTAAGAACACTGGCTATTCTTGCAGAAGACCTGGGTTCGAATCCCAGCACCCACATGGCAGCTAACAACTGTCCGTAACTCCAGTTGCAGGGGATCCCACAGCCTCTTCTGTCCTCCACGGGCATTGCCCGACACAGGTGCACTTGGCTACATGCATACACATAAAATAAAAATAATAAATATTTTTAAAAATCAGTAAAACTAAGTCTTTGCCAGTCAGTGTGATACAACTTCACTCCACCCCCCCCCTTTTTTTTTCGCTTTTTGAGACAGGGTCTCCCTGCAGTCTCAGCTCGCCTGGAACTATGTAGCCAGGCTGGTCTTGAACAAAAATCCACCTGTCTCTGCCTCCCAAGTACTAGGACTGAAGTGTGTGCCACCACACTTGGCTCACAACTTTACTCTTTTCTTTCTTTTTTTTTTTTAATATTTTATTATTTTATGTGTATGTGTGTATTGCCTGCATGTAGGTAAATGCACCCGTGTTGTGCAATGCCTGCAGAGGACAGAAGAGTCTGTTGGATCCCTTGGAACTGGAGTTATGGACAGTTGTTAGCTGTCATGTGGGTGCTGGGATTCAAACCTGGGTCTTCTGCAAGAACAGTCAGTGTTCTTAACCACTGAGTCATCTCTGCAGCCCCAACTTTATTCTTTTAATTAAGGTTGAGAAAGGGAACATATCTGATTAAAATCCATCTCTAACACACTGTGCTCATTTATGGAATTTTTAGCAAAAGAATACTATTCTTTTTTTATTACATTTATGTTATTGTGTGGTATGTGCACCCACATTAGACATGTGTGGAGGACAGAGGACAATCTGCCCAAGTCAGTTCTCTCCTTCTACCATATGGGTCCCAAGGATTTAACTCGGATTCTCAGGCTTGGCAGTGAGCACCTTTACCCACTGAGCTATCTAATAAGTACCAATCGATGACTTTCCAAGTCTAGTTATTCCAGAGACACCTATGAATAATTTAAACTTTAACTGTAGAAAAAGAAACTAACAAAATAAAGCAAGCCCAAGGTGGTAAAGGCAACTTTTTTACTCCTTCTTTCTGTGTCTCTTTGACCATAAAGAGATTTATTTGCATGAACAGGGCACAAACTTCTTTTTCTGTTTCTACCAAAAGAACTTTGGATATGCAAACATAAAAGAACAGGACTGAAGCGGTATCCCTCACCACCACCTGAGAATCAGATTGCATGTAAATCTGCCACATGTGGAAAGTAATCACCACCACCTCTATTCAGAACATCAGAAAAGGCTAAGGCAATGCTTAATATGATGACACAGGTGGCCAACAAACTTGTGCAAAATAAACAGCAAAGTGTCACTAGTCACAGCATTTGATCAAAAACAATTGCAACAGGCCCACAGGGGAAGGTTTGCTTTTCAAGAGTATATTAAGTTTACTGAAGAGTCAGTAAGGACGCAACACACACACTTACCTTACCAGTGCATCTGGTTTGCTTAGCTGGTTGTTAGGAATACAGTTCTCCATTAAGTCCTTGTGGGCACTCGGGCTCTTGCTAGTGCACTTCTGCTTCTTCTCGTTTTTACTAGATGAGGAAGGGATACTTCCATTTGTAGCACTGTGACTTCGGGGTGAGGAGTTCACAACTCCACTGGCATTTTTGTAATTTTTGGAGGAAGCAGTGCATGAGTCCTCTTTTAGGAGATTTTCTGTACTTCCCACAAGATCATTATTTAATCTTTTACTATTGATATGGTTTTCCATATACTCAATTTCTTGTATTTTAGAGTCTACAGGTTGCAGGATATTGTTGTTATTTATTCCAAGGTTATGTTTTTTGGCATCCTTGTCCTTTTCTTTCCCTTTTTCTCGATATTCTATCTCTGGCAAAGTTGTAGAAAGTTTTTTGTTGGCTGGGATGCCTCCATTGTGGTGTATAAGGATCGAGGAATCCATGTCAGGTAATCCTTTGGCTGCTACAATACCAAAAACAAACCAACAAACAAACAAAACCCAGACTGGAATATTTAGGTTTTAAAAACACAGGCTAGACCAATTTACTAAAATGTGTTAGCTAGGCTCAGAAATTCACTACGTTAATTCAAACTTACTTAGAAGCAATAAGCACAGTATTTTATACCAGTTTCAAGGAGCAAATCCAGATACATTTGAGATGTTATATATTCAGAAAATCACTATCACTTATAAACATCAGGCCATTAAAGATTTAGCTTTAAAATAAAATTAGAATTTTATAATTAAGTCATATATTTTATATACAATAAATAACATCAGTTAACTCAAATTTGTCACAGGGCTGAGAAGACAAAACAAGCCATTTTTCTAAGAGTCTCTTTTTTTCCCAATTTTTATTTTATGTGTATGAGTGTTGTGCCTGCATGTGTGTAAGTATACCCATGTTGTATAGTGCCCACAGAAGACAGAAGAGGACATCAGATTTCTGAAACTGGAGTTATAAATGGCTGTTAGCTGCTGTGTGGGTGCTGGGATTCAAACCTGTGTCTTCTGCAAGAACAGTCAGTGATCTTAACCGCTAAGCCATCTCTCCAACCTCAAGCGGCTCTATTTTTAAAAAATATCTATTATAAAAAGGGATTTAGTAGATTGGCTTATATGATACAGGCAGAGTAGTACAAAACAGATGCCTTCTTAAGAGGTCCTATTTTAAAAAGATGCCTATACTGGGCCAGGGAGATGGCTCAACATGTGAAGGAGATGGCACTGCAAGCCTGGTGGTGCGAGTTTAATCTTTAAAACTGACCCCAGAAAGTTGTCTTCTGACCTCCACATGTGTACTCACATACACTCACATACATGTTAAACTTGTTTAAAAAAAAAAAAGTTTTTAAAAAGTGCCTAGATTAAACAAACTGCTTGTGTTACTAAAAACAAAAGAGGTAAATGAAACACAAGAAAAGGTACAATTTCAAGTCATAGACATCTTTTCCTGACTCCAGTGCTGAGGTATTAAGTTTGTATCATTCACCAGGCCACTTAGAATTTTCTATAAAAGCTCTATACATTTCAATTTGTTATGGTCTCAGAGAAAAATATTCTGACATAAATTAACTGAAAAGGATGATCTCAAACTTTTAACTCCCAAGTCAACAAAACTAGTATTGCTGCCAATTCATCTACCACTATTGGTTAAATGTCCATGAGTCAAGCCCCATTAGAGATATTCCATATAAAATCCACAGTTCATGGGCTAGAGAGGTGGCTCAGTGCTTTGGAGCACTGGCTGCTCTTGCAGAAGACTCAGGTTTAGTTCCCAGCACTGACATGGCAGCTAACAACCATCTGGAACTCCAGTTCCAGGGGCCCCAACACCCTCTTCTGGCCTCTGTGGGCACTGCATGCATGTTATCCTCTGACAGGCATTCAGGCAAACACTCATATACACAAAATAAAAACAAATCAAAACAATAAAATAAAATCCACACAACAGTGTATGAAACAGAATAGAACTCATATATCTTGGTCTAATCAAAGACTTCTGACCTTAAAAGTCAACTCTGCGTGTCTACATTGTCATCTTGCTTATACTTTAGTTCTTGACTTGGTTCAATTATAACTTCACAATTATATGTTATTTTGTTACGTAGAATATTTTTTAATTTGTAACAAAATATTAAATAATTTAAAAAATAATGAAAGTAAACATATTTAGAAACAGATGGTCATCACTGAGTAGAATACTTCATTCACAATCTGTATTTCATGACTAAACCATGGCTCTGAGGAAGAGTACCAGAAAACTGGAAAATCTAAAATCCTAGCTATTTTTCCTGAAGAGAAAATTCTCCTGGGGCAAGATCTGACTAGCACACTGGGCAGAGCTTCAGGGTAAAGACCTACCTTCCTCAGCCTCTTTTTCTTGCTTCTGCAGCATCTGTTGCTCTGGAGGGAGGGCCTGCTGAAGAAGCTGCATATAAAATTCATTCTCCTTTTGAACTTCCTTTTGCTTCCTTAACCGCATTTTGTAGCTCACATAACTTTTGAAGCCAAAGCCCAAAGTCACCACAGGGTACCCAATACTAAAAAGAAGATAATCCAGCCAGTAATTTCAAGTTTAAAACAAACAATACATGCATCAAACACAAGAGGATACTTATGATTTAAAATGAGAAAAAAAATTCTAGTTGATGAAGATGAACGTGACACATATATGTATATGTCACATCTGCTGTGGAAGACAGAGGCAGGTGTGTGTAGAACAAACCCCCGGCTACAGGTCTGCAGGACCACAAGAAAACACTTCCTGTCAGATTTCAGGGTTCTTGAGACTAACTCTAGGAGTCACCCACAAGGACTGTCAGATATAGGGGCTAATGCTTTTGAGGAAACAATGAACTTTCATGTGCATTAAAATTTAAGCATCTGTGTGCTTTTAAGAACTAAAACTAAAAGGTATTCAGACATGACAGGGCCTTTCCATACATGGACTCACAGAGGATGTCACTACATGTATAAGACCCGAACAATATCAAGCCAATCAAAATTCTAGCATGGCTGGAGGAGCTCAAAGTCCCACCCCTAGCTGGGAGCTATTGGCAACTGATGGCAGCTCTGGAGGGAAAATCAATCGATCTTTGGATATAATCCAATAGGCTGCCCATGTTCCAGTGGATGGCCCTACTATATTGGTAACACTAAGTGGACTCAGTGGATTTTTTTTTTTTTTTTTTTTTTTTTTTTTTTTTTTTACACGGGTCTCCCTTGTCCCCCGGGCGGGGTTTACACCATATTTTCCCCCCCC